CCGCTTTAGTGTTAAATGCATATATACAATATGGAATTTGTAAAATGTGTTAATATACTTTGTAAACCTTGAATAGACTATAAGAACGTTCTTTTTTTAACTTCATTGAAGATATCACACCTATTTAATAGAACATTCCAAAGAAAAGGCGCAAAGATTAACTCGTGGCGTTTATCGCTAAATTTTGAAAAGTGACCTGCCTTTCATAATTTTAAGACAGAAGCACTGTTTTGTACATATATACAAGTAGATTTAGAGTAGAGGTCGCGATGGCGTAGTATTTAGTGCGTTGGAGTTTCATGCTGGCGACTTGGGTTCAATCCCCCTTGTGTGCAAATCTTTTTCAATTTTTCTGCTCGATTTAACGTTTTCCTTCCGGAATCGGACGGAAGACCTCTCGTTGCTCGCAACGAGTTTCACATCTAGTTATTATTCTTTTTTTGACAAAATTTTGTGCAGGCGATTTCTCGAAAACTGTTCAGCAGTTTTTCATGAAACTTTCACAAAATATGTCTCATTATATGAAGTTGTTACATCCGTAGAGAAATTTTGAAAATTCGCTTCTGGTGCCAAGTTATTGACAATTTCCTGATTTTAAAATGCGATTTTGTCGCCCCTTTTTCTCGAAAATGGCTAAAGATATGATCTGGAGACTTATTGGAGACGATAGTTTGTCACTTTGTAGTTTGCAGAATCACCTTCTCGTGCGTCGTCAATACTTCCGGTCGTTACGAGATGCAAATTAAAAAAAATTGTATTTTCCAACTTTTTTGTTTTTCAGTATTTTTCATTTATTTTTTGTATGTTAATAGAAACCCTCGTTATAATGCTTAGTATTTAATTTGTTTGAATGTTGATAAATCTAAACTCTAGATATTAGCATTCAAAAATCTGAAGCGGGTCCAAAATGGCGGGGCTCTCTGGCTACGCCGACATTTCGCAATAGGGGTTTACGGAGGCAGCCGAGCGTTTGCTTGAACGAAAGCAACATAAGAATACATGAAATGTAAAGGAATACTTGGAATGTCACGTCGTAGTTTCGTTGCATTTCTGTGTCAAACTAAATTCTTCTATTATTGGTTTGGCTGGTTTTCAAAGTAGAAAAAGAAAAGACTAAACGTGCAAATGAAATTCGATACCAAATATCTTTTGTGCATCACGGAAAAACAGATCTTAAATCATACTTATGCATAATACTTTCTCAAAAAAGAATATTAATATTGTCAGTATATATCTTAACCATTGTTTTTCCTATACACATTTGTGTCATAATAAACTAATTAATAAAACAAAATATAAGAAAACATTTTTTTTTAAAAGATCGCTTCATGGAGTTTATTTAAGCATTCTTGTCTCAAAGACCTGATTCAAGTTACTGAGCATAAAAGATATCTGATTCCTTGACTGTCGTAGGGCGAGCCATATTCTTCGGCGAAACGTTTCAACTTTTTTCGATTAACTAATCGAGATAGTTCACTTTGGGGATAAACTGGAAATTGAAAAAAAAAATCATAACTGTTTCACCACTTAAGTGTTACATACATATATACAATACGGAATTTGTAAAATGTGTTAAATATACTTTCTAAACCTCGAATCTTAAGCTATAAGAGCGTTCTATTTTTAATTTCATTGAAGCTATCGCACCTATATAACAGAAAATTCCAAAGAAAAGGCTCAAGTTTAACTCGTGGCGTTTGGCGCTAAATTTTGAATAGTGACCCACCTTTCATAATTTTAAGAGAGAAGCATTGTTTCCATAATATATTCAAGTAGATTTAGAGTAGAGGTCCTGATAGCGTAATATTAAGTGCTTTGGAATTTCCTGCTGGCGACTTGGGTTCAATCCCCCTTGTGTGCAAATCTTTTTTTTTTTTCATTTTTAGCTCGATTTTACGTTTTTTTTTCCAGAATCGGACGGAAGACCTCTCGTTGCTCGCAACGAGTTTCATATCTAGTTAAGGTCTTCCGACTTCCTTCGGAAGACCTTATTGTTTTCCTTCTGTTTTTTATTATTATTATTATTCCACTTTTCATAGTACAGGTCATATCTCAGCTGTGCGTGGACGAATTTTAACGATTTTTTCAGGGATGATGCATCTTGTCAATATCTCCAGGGGTGTTCCTCACTTTTTTGAAATTTTTCTCCGTTCGCGATTTTCGGGGAAATTTGTATTTTTTAAATGGAATTTTGTCGCAAAAAAATCTCGAGAACGGCAAAAGATATGAAACTGAAACTTGCTGAGGTGATAGAACATCAATTGTAGATGTGTTGATCGACCTTCATTTTTCGTAGTTTTGACTTCCGGCCGCAAACGGAAGTGAAATAAGAAATTCCAAATTTTCAACTTTTTTGTTTTTCAATATTTTTCTTTAGGCTTTACAGGGTTGACAGTGTGTCTTATGAGAATTCTAAATATGTATTTAGTATCTTGATGCGTGCATCTATTGAAAAGATATGACCAAACCAAACTTTGTCCCACTGTCGGGGGTTCGAATCCCGCTGTGGGCGTTGATTTTTTTTTTCTTTGTTTCTATCTTTTTGCATTTGCAAATAACTGTTCTCTCTATTTTAACATATATGGAAGATTTTGCCGATTTTTAAAAGCTTTTTTTGAGATATTTTGAGGAATACCTGTAATAATCATGAGATATGTTAAGAGGCTGCTGTAAATGAACGTAAACGAGAAAAATACATTCTGAAATTTTATGGGATGTCGCAGCATAGAATTCTAACGAAAATCGGTCGGAAGACCTGCTTGTTGCACCAGCAACAAGAACGCATCTAGTTATTATTATTTTTCTTCTTCTTCCTGGAACTTTTTTGTCCGGGAATGATCTTGTAAACTGTTCGTCCGATGTAGGTAAAACCTTTTTAGGGTTAGTAGACATGTTATGTAGATTTGCGGAATCAAGGTCATTTTGCGCGCACGTGCTTGCAAGAGCGTGCACGTGCAACACGTGAAATGACCAATATAATAGATATAGCCACAACTGTTCTATTTTTAAATGAAATGCTTTGAAACTCATAATGTGAGGATATATTAGTAGTATAGACATGACGACATGGTGAAAATAGCAAGATCTCACGCGCATGCACGTGCACTTCGCTCTGATTGGCTGCAACTAAAGTCTCAATATCTTTCTTGTTTTTTGACGAAATCCTTTGAAATTTTGAACATAGCCATGCATCAGGATATCCTACAACATGAAATAAAGCAATTATCATGAAAACACGTGCATGCACGTACGCTGCAATCTGATTGGCTGAAACTTTAAACAGCTATAACTCCCTTGGTTTTCAACCAAACAGGATGGGATTTGGAACATAGATAGATATAATGGACTTCTACAAGTAGGTATGGTCACCATGCACATGCATACACGTGCGTGTACATGTGCTGCAATCTGAATTTAGGGGTGGAATTTAGAACATAGATAGATGTAATGGACTTCTACAAGAAGATATGGTCACCATGCTCATGTATGCACGTGCGTGCACGTGAAATGAGAAAAATCAAACATACACTTGAATGAGCGAATTTTTTTTTTTATAATTTTGGATTAAATACTTTAATATTCAGTATATTAAAAATATAGATTGTGTAGACAAGATGATATGGTCATGACGCATATGCATTAACATGTGCACGCGTGCAATGCTAAAGTTTAAATAATTTTTGTACACTTCTTTGTTAATGTTGTTAAAATCTCAGATGCATAGAGGTTGTCTTATTTAATGAAGCTTACAGGGAATATGGCACCAAAAGGGAGTTGGGGAGCGTTTGGGGAACATCTGTAACGGTCCCCGTTACAATTAGCACTAGTTCCATACATTGTTATTATATAATATGTAAATAGTTAAGGGGCTTTCCATCGGTTATTGACGAATGTTTGAAAGTACAATGTGTGCTTATCAATTTCCATAGGTCTGGATGCAGGTAAGAAACGAGGGAGGGGAATGAATCAACGTAGAACATAGCCTATGGTGTAAAATTTCTTCTGAAATGATTTCCAATTTCATGTATACGTACATGCACTCTATACATGTATGTAACAAATACACATGAGCTTTGCGATATCATCAGTGTGAAGCCTTAATACTTAACCAACAATATATTTATAAATATATTTACAAAGAAATGTAAAACAAGTATCAATGATATCCTTTTAACATGTTTTTAAAAGTAGGTCAAACTCTTAAAGTCAAGGTCAAAAATAATTTTACCTAAAAAGAAAGGTCTTATCACAATAAATATACATGTCAAATATGAAAGCCCTAGCACCAACAGTTAAAAAGTTATGGCCAAAGTTAAAGTGTGGAAATCTTTTGTAAAAGTGGGTCAAACTCCAAGGTCAAGAAGTCAATTTTGTGGTAACCAAAAAAAGGTCTTTTCACAAGGAATATTTAATACTGTACACATGTAAAATATGAATAATATAGCCCTAACCAATCAAAAGATAAAGTAAAGTTTTTGCAGACAAATAGACGGACGGACAGGACGAAAACTATAAACCCCCGAAATTCAGTAAAAGGATTTACTTTGTCACACTTCGTTTTGCCTTCAGTACAGAAAATGCTTTTGAATCAATTTTATCGCTGGTTTTACAATATGCATCATTCAATTTTCAATTCACGATTTGTAATTATGTGTTTTGATTTTTTAAAATTAGTTAAAGGGTCATAACCTGTTTTTACCTCATTTTGGTCTTTCGAATAAAATGTAACATCTTCCTTAGAAGATATTTAGAAATTCTTCAATATATTCATGGTTTTGAAGAGCAATGATATTAAGAAAACTTAATGTTGCATGACAATAAACGGAACATATTGAAGATGGTTCATTATCAGCAATTAAAAAGTTGTAGGTGAAATTAAATGATGTTGTTTGTAGTTATCAAGCAAACGTCATTAGATCGTTTAAGGCTTCCACGATGTTTTCAGATCAATATGTTGTTTATCATAAAACATACATAAAACCCGTATTCCTTTCTTGCAGAGATACGGACATTCATCATGATGAACAGAGCAAAACGAAACAAAACCAATAGGAGTGCCATTTCATTGCTCCAGTGAGAATTTTATGGAATCGGTTTTATGTTCCTGTGGATGTCAACTCAAGCCCTACATGGTGTTCAACGACACAGATGTCATTTTGGAAAGTGCAACAAATTGGTCGAAAAGCACAGAAAAGAGTGCACGGGCAAACAATTTCCATGCAAATGCAGAGACAATTGTCCTTGGAGTATTTTTATTCCTCCTCATATTTCTAACCATCTTAGGCAATTCGCTTGTTCTGTTAGCTATGATTGTGAAGAAGAAACTACGAACTGTTTCAAATATGTTCATAGTATCGTTAAGTCTTACCGACTTTTTATTGGGATCTATCGTAATGATACCATCTGCACTGCAGATAATATTTCAAGAATGGATCTTTCAACATGAGTTTTGTTCCGTATGGGTATCATTTGACGTAATGTTGTCCAGTGCTTCTGTGTTAAATGTTTGTCTAATCAGCATAGACCGATATATCTCCATTCTAACCCCTCTCAGATACAAAACAGTGATGACATTCCAGAAAGCTTTCTTAATGCTGATAATTGCATGGAGCATAGCAATTCTTTCGTCTTTCGTTCCAATAATGAATGGCCTTCACAATCCTGACGTCCCCTCCTTAAAGAATTTAACTCTATTTTCCAGCACTCCGCAGTGTTTGTTCATTATCAGTGGAATATATGGCGTAATCGCCACACCCGTAACGATTTTATGTCCAATTATCATAGCCATTGTACTTTATTACCGTGTTTCAAAGGAAGCAAAACGACAAGCATTTTTCGTGGGAACTCTTCTTACCCCAGGAAATGTTCTTTTGAGACAGCATGTGCCAGCTAAACACCTGAGGGAACCACTCACCCGTAAGGCTACGGTGACGCTGGGGACAATTGTCGGTGCTTACGTCACAACATGGTCCCCGTTTCTGTGTGCCAATATCGTAGAGGGATTCTGTCAGTGTATTCCTGGAAAGTTGTTTACAGCCTTTGTTTGGTTGGGATATTGTAACAGCTTAATTAACCCAATTATCTATCCCTTATTTATGAAAGATTTCAGGAAAGTGTACGTTTTAGCCCTGTCCAAGTGCTGTCCATTCCTACATAAAATAAGACATTTTAGTATAGAACATAAGTTATATGAGGGAATTAAGCACCCGACTCTTTAAAGCAATATGAACTACATTTTTGAAAAAATTATTTTGCTGTTAATTAAAATGTGTTATGATGATAAATAAGTATGTAACGTTAACCTTTATGATCAATTAGACTAAGATAAAGCAGAAGAAAGACTTCTATACACAATGCAATATACAGATTTATGTAAGAAATCATTTTTGTACAGGACGACAATAATGTTATTTTGATTCAGTTGAAGCTTATAAATAGTTCTTCCATCGCAAATATGAACAACAGAAGTTTATTAACGTTATTTTTTCTGTCATTAAAATAGTTATTTACAGTTTTGCAACAAAAAATTCCGACATCAAAGTTGCAGCTCATATTGCTTTAAAACATCTATTTTATCACCAACGAAGTGATGTTATTCAGTTGTAGTATGTTCATATTATGTTGTTGACATTTTTTAACCCCAATATTTTAAATATTATAATAATAAATATTAAAAATATTACAGTACTGAGTCTAAGTTTTATTTTTATTTAAAGTTTCATGAGAGATTTTAAGAAAAGTATATATTTTCATTTTTATCAGTTATCTTTCTTATTCGACGCATGGCGTTTGAATTCTCCATGCAGTTTGCCTCTTTTTCACCGGGTTAGATTGACATAACCAATTCCATTGACGTTGGAAATATCATTTTCGCATAAATATCGAGGGGAAAAAAATCAATCATTATCAGTAAGACTGGAATCTGTAGGAAAATTGTTATGGTGAGAATAAGTTAAAGTGTTTTTGCATTGCTTGTCATAAAATAATGTTAATCGATACAAGAAAAAAAAAATCCTATTTTATTGTGCAATTATTAAAATATAATACTCGGATATATACTTCAGTATTCCTTCCGAGTGGTATAAAAACCTGAAATGTTAGTTTAAAATATATTTTATTTATTGAAATGTTGTATTTTATGTAAGATAACAATCATTCAAACGAAAGAAATAGTTTACGTTGTTAAAATGCAAGAAACAAAACACAATCATGCTATAATTTTTGCCGAATCAATTAATTTTCCAACAGAAACATATATGAACAGATATCTGAACAAACTGAATAATATTAAATGCAAAAGAGAGGTGGTTACAATATATCTCTTTGTTTTTCTAAGGGGCGATGTTATCGTCCAAATTGCCCGTATTTTCCACTTAACATTAACAGACGTATATAAAAATACTTGCTAAAACTGAAAAGAAAATGCTTCTGCTTATCGCAGTAAATGTTCTCTCTAAAATATAATTCGTCACATTTTTCTATTTTTTTTTAAACAAAATTCTTCAATTTGTTGCTCGTCGAAATTTAATATGTATGTACTTTACTTTTTTTATGATATTGATATTCTATAATTCATAAGACTGAAAAGTCGTTTCATAAATTTACAAGAGGTCCACGGGGCTTATAGGTCACCTGAGTATCATGTTACAACTTTCCAACAATTGAATTTAGATAAGACTTTAAACTAGAGGCCATGAAATCATAATTTTGAAAGAGACACCATTGTTCATCATAATTATACACTTAGCTTGCTTAGTTAGACTACTTAAAGCCCAGAAACAAGCAGAGGGACAAAGGAAATATGCATTTCAAATTTATAATAAGTAGTGCCCTACCCCACAAGTACCCCTGACAAATTCATTTCTGTATTTAAATCTATGGTACTTAGATGCAAGGAAAACAAAATTTCATATAGTTTGGTGTAGAAAAAAATATCTTCAGAATAAGACACCAACCTTGGAATAAGAGTAAGAAGTTCTCGAGCAGTGATTGTTGCAACACAGAGCTCATTTTGGTCAAAGGCACTGTGTGTCGTCCAGACAAGGTCGTATGTGAAGCCACCTCAAGGAGGTACGGTGGGCCTCCTAACACTGTTCCGAGGAAGTTACGACCAAGAAAAAAAGGTTACAGGATACAAGCAAAAGATTCTCAAAAAATATAATCATCAACTACGCAAAATTGCAAGACTAAATAAAATTGTGCATGAGACACAACTGTAAAAGTACGGGTAGTGTCAAGACGTCAATTGTCCACAGAAAAGGAATGTGTTTTTTTTCTACGAACCAATGTAACAAATGTTCATTTGACACAAAACCCTACAAGTTATACACAGAATGTAACAAACGGAAAAGGGGTCCAGCAGCAGGATGCCTGATAGATAGACTGTAAATGGCAACACTGAAGTCAGACATCGTGGAAATCTCTTGTCAAGACCTCGATTGTCCACAGAAAATGATTGAGTGTAACTCTACGAACCAGTACAGATTTAACAAATGTTCACTTGACACAAAACCCCACAAGTTATACAAAGAGTAAAGCAAACAGAAAGGAGACCTAGCAACAGGAAATCTGATGGAAGAACTGTCAATGGCAACACTGAAGTCAAACCTGGGGATCATACGTACAAATGTTGATGGCATATCTGGACATCCGAAGTCCCTGTTTAACCGATGTCTAGGGTACTGTACTTACATATTCCATAATTTTGTTAAAGGCACCATTGTTCATTATAAATCTGTGAATATACCAAGGAACAAATGTCAAAGCATTAAATTCGTTTTCAGTATATAATTTTTTCGCCCTTATACCTCTCCAGGTACCCCCTGATCCAATGGCCCTAAAATTCAATATTCTGCAAGAAGCATTCTCTGTACTGAAGTCATCAGCATAATACCCAGGAATAGCGGAGATGGTTTTCAAAGAAGTATTGCATTTTCACTATATAATCAATAGAACCCTGCCCTAACACAGGATCCTTGACTAAGGTGCTATAAAATTCAGAATTCTGGAAAGGGCGCCCTTCCTCATCATAATATTTATAGTTCAAATGTATTGTTTACGTGTATTGGTTAAAAACTCAGGAGCAGAGAGGAAGATTTTCAAAGAACTTCTATAAATGCATTTTCACTATATAATCAATAGAATTTTTCATTATATAATCAATAGAGATCCGCTTTAATACCAGAACCCCTCACCAAAGGACCATTTAATTAACAATTCTGGAAGAGGAATCCTCGCTGTTAATGCATTTTCATTTTATAATGAATAGAGCACCACTTTACATATAACATCGGAACACCAGACCAAGGGTCACAAAATTCGCAATTCTGGTAGACGCACCTTTCCACATCATTACCAATTTACCATGTACAGAATTCATTGCTTTAATACTAGAACCCAGGAGACGAGGAGAAGATTTTTAAAGAACTAAAATATTTTCACTATAAAATCAACAGAGCTCCACCCTAGCACCAGAACCTCTGACCCTGGGGTCCGGAATTTCACAGTTTTGGAAGAGGCAGCCTTATTCAACATAATCATGTACTTGGTTAGTTTATTTAAAACCCAGGAAAAGAAGAGATTTTTAAAAGAATTATTGCATTTTCACTATATAAGCAATAGAGTCCCATCCTAGCACCTGAACCCATGACCATGGGGCCATGAATTTCATGATTTGGGTAGGGGACTCAATGCTTATTACAATTATGCTAACAGTTTGACTGCATAATGCCCAGGAGTAAAGATTTTGAATCAAAGTACTCAGAAGTACAGAGAGCCGGGCTCATTTACAGAGTAGAATGGATTTCTTACATGAATCACGTTTATATTCTGATGAAAAAATTATTCTAAAACTATCAATATAAATGATAAGACACTGACAGTGAGTTTTTCAATCCTAATACCACGGTCCGATTTTGTCAGAATCAGAATTAATCTGGTACCGCAGCTGTATGTAAACAAACAGGCCAGTCTGGTGCCCTCTCCTGCTTTACCTCGTATGTGTAGAGAACTACGGTAACACTGATTATCAAAAATCCTTACGCTAATGAACTATCTTCTTTGACTTATGAAGTTTTCAAAGTCATTACTACTAATGTTTATTTTATATAGATAAAACTTCGTTTTATTTTTGTTGCTTTATTTAGCGTTTGCATTATCTCAAAAGCGGTTGAGAGTAAGAACTATATTTTTGCCCGTAACTTTAAAATGGCGACTATGGGGTCAACATCCTGCCTTGAACAGGATCACATAAGCCGGCAATTGCTCTTTGAGCAATAAGCCCGGCTAAAAATTGCATTAATTTTGATGGATTTAACCCCATCCTCTGGTCCCTGGGGCAAAGGTCATGATTTTCAATTTTTGTTCCCCTAACCCATATATGTTATATGACACAATAGATTGCAATTGGTTTAGCCTTATCAAACTGAAACTGAAAATGTACAAATGTTAGCACGGCGGTCGAAAAGAGATAGCAATAGGTCACCTGGGTGACTTAATAATTCCATAAAAAAATTAAGTTACTTCCATTTTTATACATAAATAAAAAACAATTTAAGGAACAACACATAAAATAATTCTTTGAAGTCTGTCTAACGTTACCAACTGTCCAAGGTCATCTTGTTTCATGAATATTTCTCGTCTGGAAAGAATATTTCTGATATTCATACTCCAAATTCAGAAGTCTGTAGTTTTTGTCTGATCGATTTGCTTAATCCCTATTATTGTTCTTTACATCGTGTATTGATTTTCTTGTCGACAAGTTGTAAAAAAAACGCAAGTTTCAGATTTCCCTATGATTATATAACAGAAGCAAATGTCATGGATATTAAAGACATGCATCCGAAATTTGTTACTTTTTTACTGTCCTTTGAGTAAGACATCTTACAAGATTATTAAAATGACCGAAAAATATAGAACAATCATAACTGAGTAAATTGCCCACTTTTATTTTTTTGTTTTTATGGAATGATCTATCTTAGACTAGCTAGATCTGTCTTATCTATGTATATAATATATAAAGATTAGATTAAAAAAGGAAAACTATTTCTGATTTAAAACAGGTCTAGGGACCAAAAACCGCAATAGAGACCATGAAATATACGTATGCCCAGTATTTTTTCATGCAAATTGCTTGCTATCCTATCAGAGCCTGATAATTCTCTGAATTTCTACGACTGAACGAACGTTTTAGAAAACGCCGACTCATCACCATCGATTTGTGTGGGTAATATCTGTTTTAATATCTATAGC